ATAACGTTACAATTGAAAATTTTCACCGTTTGCCATTTTCAATGATAATCCAAGGACATTTATTAAATGCGTATCTATTTTTAAATCAAATCATCTCGTCAAAATTTCATGAGGATTTGGAGGAACTACTACCAGTTCTGATAATATAACTGAAGGACCGTACATTTACGGCATAATGTAGCAATAGCTTTAAACGAGATTCGCGCGATAACAGGTAAGTGCACTTAGAATATTTTCTCACGTATTACGTGTCCAAGCGTTTTGACTCGTCGATAAAGAAAAAGATAGGGAAAGAAAGTAAGAGAGAAAGAGAATATTCTAAGATATCGGTTCAAAGTTTTTCCACTTTCAATATTATAATGTCGTTAAAAAGAAAAAAGAAAAAAGATAAAAAAAAAAAATATAAGAAAAAAGTAAACATTTACGAGGCGACATGAGACGCAAAGTTTTTACAAACGAATGATCCCTTTAAAGTTTTTCCTTTCTTCTTATTTCAACCGTATATAAATTTCATAATGGAAAATGAACGATACAACTTTAGTTATATATAAAGTATGTCCAAGTGATATCCTATGGATATTACTTTTGTCTAAAATACTCATGATTCAAGTTTGATAGGAAAGTCTCTATCTGTTGGAAATTCGACAGTCTGCAGGACTACATGGAAGGTATGCTATGCAATTTACGTTTTCGATGCAATTAACGGCTAGTAATATGGGACACGTTGCCTCAAGGGAGCAACAACAACAACAACAACAACGACGACGACGACGACAACAAGAACGAGTGAAATCGTTCTATCGATAGAGTGTCCAGGATAAGGCAGGAAAACATAAGAGTTTTTTCACACTTTTTTTCGTACGAAAAGGAAGCAAATGCAATTTGAAATCACGCGACGATCTTTATCGTCATGGTGGTCACGACGACGTCGAGAATTTATGTCGCTAAGAGTTATACTTACACAAATATGATTTGCTCGTATGATATAGGTATGCTGTATTCGATATACAATTACATACGTAAGTATATACATAGATACATACGAAGTTATATCAATGAGTTGACCACCGCCAATATCAATAACCAAAGGATCGCTAATATTCGTAACTGTGTGAATAGTATATAGAGTGTTCCAAAAATATCGGCTAATAATCATAACAACATAACCAGTTTTATTTCGAATATCGAATGTTTGAAAATTTACTTTTTTTTTTTAACTATTATTTTGTTATCGATAAAATCAATAATAAATCGATTGTTCATAAAGTTTAACTCCAACAATTTAAGGAATACCCTATACCATAGTGAACATAAATGCGACGCTCGAATAAATCATACGGACAGGTAAACGTAAATCACCATTTCGCATATATCCCTATAATAGGTTCGTCCCGATTCGTTGAAAATTACAGCATACTCGATGACATCCATCCTTTAAGCGTGAAATGAATCCGCATTATCGGAATGAATTATTTGCGAGATGTTTTTCAGAAAGAAGAATTCAAGATCATTCGTAATCGGTCGTACTATTATTCGGAAGGATTATTTTGGAAAATTTTTACGTACGAGATACGTCAGGATTTACTTTTCTTATCGAATATAAGTAAATAAATGTAATCGTAAAAAAGCAATTTGTTATTTTTAATTCCTAATCTAAACTAATCGAGCGATGGTTGATCAAATTCTTTTCATTTGCGTGTTCTCAAATTGAGAATTAATTGAGAATGAAACTGATCAAGAGCTTTGCGCTTTGTTACAGACGGTATAACGAGTAACGATTGGGTTTCCGTTGAAGAGAAAGAAAGAGAGGGGGAGAGAGAGAGAGAGAGAGAGAGAAGAAAGGGAGAGGAAGAGAGATAGAAAGAGTTCTATAATTGCAAACGGTCTCATCGTATTCTCTCAATCCGACCTCATCTTTACGTTCGTTTATCTCAAACTCTGGGTTTCTTGCACTTGTAAACCTTAATATTAATGACACTAAGAAGTTCTTCTTTCGTTATATTCTCTTTCTCTCTCTCTCTCTCTCTCTCTCTCTCTCTCTCTCTCTCTTTATTTCTCTTTCTCTTTTTCTTTTTCTTCGGGTTAACAATCTCGTCGAATGTACAACGAATAAAACGAAAAAGATGAAGAAAGATGATGAAAAATCATAGCTATTGAATATCCATGAAAAAAAGTGCTTTCTAAGTCTCTTGTACCTTCGAAATAAAACTTTCCTTTTACTTTTATCCGAACTCTTCGGTTATTTTACGCGATAATTAAACCGTATCAAAAAGTTCCGATGGTAATTCAAAGAATGAAAAGAAGGTAGAAAAAAGGAATGATAATATCATCAATTCTTTAGTTAAAGCTATTTATCACACCTGATTTTATAATGGTTTTTCATAATGGTTAACAATGAATACATGGGAAAATTCTTGAAAGATTTTTATGAACAAGGATACATTTTAAAAATGAGGACACAGTTTTATCGAACTTTTGAAAAAGTTTCATTTTCTTTGAAAAGAAAAATGGTATCAAAAAATGGTGCTTTTATCGACGATAATTTTTTAAAGATAATTTCTCAGAGAAATATATCGAATAATTTTAATTTCTTTATTTTTATTATTTATTCTTATTTATTTTCATTTATTTTTACTTTTTTTTTTTATTTACGTTTTTCAGGCTAAATGTCACATTTTTTATTTTACTTAATGTTCATTATCATATTGACATATTTTAAAATTCAAGATATCAGTGATTTTCTTTCTTTAACTATTTGTATAATTAACAAACACTTTTTAATTAATTTATCTTTAGAGAAGTATAATCTGATTTGGCTTTTCCTTGCATTTATTAGATGCATTACTATTTGTACTGCATATAAAAATGTATCTTACACCCTAATTCATATTTTGTTCGTACCTTTCGTGTACGGTGCTAGCGAAATGTGGTGAAAAACCTTAAAGAGCAATCTTTAACGCGTTTTACATTAATGATCGAAAATTATTGGTAATTAGTATTAGATTTTATTGACTTTACTGTAAAATTTCTTCTAACAATTGTTTATTAAGCTTTATGAAAATATAACCATGGTGATTCGTATAATCCGATTCAATCTCGTACATATTTAAAACTAAAAGAAACACAGTATTGTGAAGCTATTTAAAATCTCTCATGTAAAATAAAATGAAGATTTTAAAAGTTTGTTAAAAGCATAAATTCTTTATAAATAATATAATATGAAAACTTTAGCAATGAAGTTTTTTTTTTTTTTTCATATTTTTATTTAAATGAAAATAAGGAAACACGAATTATCAAACTGAACATCAAACTGAAGTATCGATTGATGTTAGAGAAAATACGATAGTGAAGTGGAAACGAGTTAAAGTAAATTGGCTTATCTTTTTTATTTCTGTTTCTTTTTTTCTTTTTTTTTTTCATCTCCTGTCGCATAGATCGAACGATTGAGCTGGGATTCTTCGTTGAATAATAAATAAAAGGAAAAGAGAGATCGAGGAACATCGAGAGAACATATAACATCTGTACGGTGTTAGAGAAGGACGGTCGCTTTGGGCTCGCTCGTAAAATTCGGCCTAGAGACGAAAGTTTTCCTGGCTCACTCGAGCTAGTGCGCAGGAAGTATAGATCGTGAGGTAAGCTCGAAGGGGATGCTGGTAGTTCATCGGTGAGGTTGGTATGAGAGAGAGGAGAAAGTTCCGTGCAACTTTTGCGCCAGACGAATCACCGGCAGGTTTGGGTCGGTAGCTCGGATTAGCCACGTATAGTGATCAACTCCGGAGCGGGTAATTAAAGCGGTGCGCGCCTCCTTGCACTTCGACTTCGCGCGCCGTTTATTATATTAGAATGGAAAGGTGGTCTCGGTCTCACGCGTTTTCCTTCTCCCACTGGAAAGTAGATATCGAGGCGAATTTTGATTAAATTTTCCAACGCTTGAATCGATTCGAAAATTAATCCAAAAATTCGGACAACATCAAAGAAAATATGTTACAAAAAGTAAACGACGTTAAAGTGTGTATCTAGATAAATGAATGATTCATTTCAATTAATGTAAGTTACATATTCATGATACGAAATTACATTGAATAGAAAAAAGAATAAAAAAAAAAAAAAAAATAAAAAAATGAAAAAAATTAAAAAAATAAAACAAAAAAGAAAAATAAAAAATAGGAGGGAAGAGAGACATAAAAAAGAAATAGTAGACATAGGATATCACGTAAAAGATATAAGAGAGAGAGAGAGAGAGAGAGAGAGAGAGAAGAATTCGAGCAAGTGAGCAAATATTGAAAATTCTCATTCATGCATTATCACTCGCCATCTGTTCCCTCAGTTTTCTTTTTTCTTTTTTTCAACAATATTTTTTTCCTCGTACAAACAACTGACTCGAAAACGGTCGAAAACTAGCATGGGCTTTGTCCGATAGCCTTTCGCTTGATAAATATAGGCTTGCTATACGGATCGCATTCGATTCTCACCCTTTCCCTGAGAGATTTTTTGCGACGAGGATTTTCGAATGTCACAGTAGATTTTCATTGGTAGGAATTTTTTGCTAGGCAATTACAGAGACTTTCACGGATACCTATCCCGTTAGACGCGAGAAATTCTCTTAGTTTCGAATAACCTAAATAGCATCTGTACGTACGTGAATACGCGTTCGTCGATTTCATTTGAACTAGGACATACATATATGTAGTTTTTGTGTCTATGCAAAAGTAACATGTCGTTTAGATACGTTAGAGGAATTAATTAAATATCTCTTTGTGACCTTATTTTGTCGCTATTTTTTTTTTTTAATTAGGATGTTTCAATTAAGCGTTTTCTGAAAAAAATTTTTTTTTATATTGTAACGATAATATCCATTAATCGTAATCGTTGACGATCGATTTAATTAAATTTTATTAAATATGACAATTTTCAATCCAGATCTCTTAAAGGAAAAGATTAAAAATTTTATAAGACCAAATAATTACTTTTCTATCTTCGTTATTGATTCACAAACTCACCTTGCAAACCAGTGATATTTCTCATCGTTCGGTAGCCGTTAACAAGCTTCTCGCGTAGATGGGTCCTCTCGCAGTGGCACTGATAATTGGTGATTACGATCGTGGTTGTCGCGAACGCGAGGAACAACCTTGACCCCCAGGTTGGTCCTGTCGACATCGTCCACCGGTTTTCGCATCCCCCGAAGCTTTCGATGTTCAATGCGGAATCTTGATTTTCGCTGACGTGACACCTCTGGGGATCGTTTTCAGAACGATCGCAAATTATCGTACTTGTCCGTCTGAAACACGAATTAAATTGTTCACGAATTGCAAATCAAAAATGAAAAATGTATGATAACATTTTACTTTTAAAACCTTTTAAAGTGATCGATTTTTATTACAGTCAACGAACGTTGTCGAAATAAAATTTAGTTACATTCGGTGTACGTATATTATATGTATGTACGTTTATATGATTAACAAGAAACGAACAGACATCGAGAAATTCGTGGATTTGCATAACAAATGGTGACAAAGATAAAAAGTTGATTATAAATATCAACAAATTATATTTTCGAAATTGTTGTATTGCAATATTTTTAAATTACAAAAAATCCATTTATATATCTTTTTAAAGAAACATTGCAAATGCTCGTGTTTTCAAATTCATAAGGATCGAATTTAATGGTGAAAATAAAACTACGAAGAAAAAAAAAGTAATCACTGTGGTTTAATCTTTTGATGATGATCGAGATAACGATAGGGAAACATCCACGTAGGATCGGTCTCAAATGTGGCTACAGGTGCGAGTGACGTACAATAGGGACTATCGTTGCACTCGGATAATAACAGTTGCACTCGTAGCGCTTGGGCACTCATAGCTCGTCTCTCGACATTTAAATTATCGAAGGGAAGTGCACAGGCGTTCGATATTTTAACGTCAGTTTCACGCAGAGGGTTTAATAGTCTACTTCAACGATTACGCGTTGCCTGTGACGGGAGTCACCAGATAAACGGTTCAAAAGTCAATCAACTTAACGTAAAAGTTTACACGGTTGTAGAGATGTAATGAAGGAAAATAGTAATATTTAAAATCTCAGAACAATTATCTTTTCTTTCTATATATTTATTTATTGACGCGTTTAATAACCGAATAAATATTACGAATTCTTTTGAGTTCAAACACGGATCGCAAATTAACGAAAAAGAATATTTTTTCAAATAAATATTATTCGATTACAACGAACGGATTGATTTAATAAACTTGAAACGTTCACGATAAAAAAAAAAAATTGTATCGATTGTATTATAAAAATTACAAATATTTACAGGGGAATAATGTTTGTGCAGAGACGAAGTAAAAAAAAAAAAAAAAAAAAAGGATAGAAATTTTTTTTTATCCAATTTTTTCCGAAATTTATTTTTCGACTTTTAACATTTTTGAGGATTACACACATTTCTCAGTCAGTTGAATTTGGGAAATATTGCGAAGCTTCGTTTTCTTGTCCTAGTGAGAAATTCGTTCTCGGTTTTTAGCAGACGGTGTGCGAATAAACAGAGATGGATGAGTGTCGAAAAAGAAGTGGAAGAGAAAGCAAGAGAAAGAAAGAGGACGGCTTGACGGTTATCTGGCCGAGATACAAGTGCACATTCATTGGAGTATACGCTGGTATACAAGTATCTATCGATATAACCTACAAAAATTCCACCTTCCACCTTCCACCCCTTTCTCTTTCGACGGGGCTGTGATCCATTCAAGCATTTCGAGCTATCGGCCTATCTCCTCTCCGTTTTTCACCAGCAACCAACCCCAAAAGAGTTTGGAATTTTATTCAACTTTCCTATCGACAGACGATACGAAAGTTTCTATGCAAACGGTCGCTCGTTTTACTCCCGCCCTCTCCCTCTCCTCCCTCATTTCTTCTTCATGTTTAAAAAGACCTCCCGATTTCTCTTTGAACACCGACGAACCTGTACGTACTCTACTCGTATCACCTTGGAGAAAAACGAAATGTAAATCAAATTTACGTCTCCTCATAATACCTACGTCTGTCTACACATTTCTTTTCGTCCATTTTCTTTTTTGTTTTTGTTATTTTCAACTCAATATAATGCTCTAATCCGTTTCCAACGTTACGACGATATAGCGTCGATTAACTTTAATACGATATTAAATCGTTTTATATAATGAACGAATGAAAAATATTTGCAATAAATAATGAAATAGAAAAAGGAAAAAAAGAAAAAAGGAATGATATAAAATGTCTTACTTATAGGCAGAAAAAAATGTTAAAAATATTTAAAACAAAAAGAAAAAGATAAGAAAAGGAATAGGGAGAATAAAATTTGATACATTTTAAAAAGAGAAAGATAAAACTTTATGTTATAAATAACAATTAAATATTATCACTATCCTTTATATTTTCGAAGATGGCACATGGCAAATATTATAGTTTAACATCTGCGAATGACGTTATCCTAGTCGGCAATTTTTTTTCTTCCACTGAGAAGTCCTTGCGAAAGTATAAATGTTTCTCGAGCCATTGCTTTCGTCCATGTTTCATTCGCCGTACATATCTATCTATCTTTCTCTTTCTCTCTCTCTCTCTCTTTTTCTTTCTCTCTCTCTCTCTCTCTCTCTCTCTTTTTCTTTCTCTCTCTCTCTCTCTCTCTCTCTTTTCACTCACTCTCTAATTTCTCTTTTTCTCCTTCACGTTCCAGTTCATCCATTATACCAAGCAAGTAGTTGCACATCGGAACATCGTAACATAACGTATTCCACTGACTCGCACAAATGTACACCGTAATATGTTCATTCATTTTCGGTGACTTTTAGTAACGCGAAAAACCTTCTTTTTCCATTCTTTCAAATCAAACGGGTAGTAAATATTTCCATAATAATCTCGAGGTCTCGAATAGAGACTAAATCACGTTTGATCTGAACGTTTCAACAAACGATTCTATACGAGGGACGAAAGTACGATTAAATATTTTGTTAGGCACATCGAGAACCGTTTGATCGCTTTTGATCTTATTTGATTATCGTTTCGAGATACGTTTCGAGACTTTGTCTTCTCTCGTGACGTGACAAAATTAACGAAATGGCTTTGATGAAACTCATCCGATAAGAAGGAACAATTTCACGGCATTGTGATAACAAACAAACGTTCGTCGTCGGATTAAATATACGGTAGAACTGAATACTCCTTTGTTTGACTTTGTTTCAACTGAAAGTCAGTTAGATTGCGATTCGAGAAGGACACGAGAACTAATTTTGGAGTAACGGGATTAGGACTTGTCATTTGCGAATTGCATTCTCGGTTAACGATGGATACGTACCTATAGAGACAAAGAATCGTGGAAATGATCGAAATTATAATCGAGTTAATATGTAATTGTAATCTATAATAAAAATGTAAAAAGATAAAATAGGAAAAACTACAAAATTACATGTTAGGATTAAATTTGGATTATAAAAGTTATAAAAAGCTTTTACAAAAATTCGTAATCACTCGCGGATATTAATTTAAGAGTTTCTGATTCTCTAGGTGTTCTAGTTCTAAAGAAATAAAGAGAAAGAACGCGAAAAGGAAACACGCGAAAAGAGAACTTCTAATCAATGAAAAGGCAACGCCAAGGCACGATTCAGCTTTAGAGTTTTGGGGTCTGAGAGATGTCACGGAATCACGAGTGTACTCATATGATGTACATATAAATATATATACACATATATATATATATATATATCCTTTGAATATTTACCTTAAAAAAATGTACTCAACTTTTGGCCCGCATTTCATGTTAAATATGTGTACATTGATGTATACATATAAATGCGTTTAGTTATGTAGTACATGAATTGCACGGAAAAAAAACAACGTTAATTTAAAAGATAAATATAAGATGATAGACGCAGTTTCATTTTTCATCACAGCCTTGCTTCGTGTTATCTATTAAATAGAAACGAAGTTGTAGTTGTATAGATAAAAATATATCCAAGTTCGTTACATTCGTTTTTTAAAGTTTATTACATATATCTATATTAAACATTGATCTTCCGGAAGACTCGAGATCTCATTCAGTGAGTAAGAAGCAAGAAAGCACAAGTAAAGTAACAGTAAAGCGATGGCAAACTTTTCCAGTTTCCTTTCCAAGTTCGCGCACGTTAAAACCTGCGTGCAATCGTAAAGCGAAAAGCTCGAGATTTCCTGACTTCGTTCAGAACAATATGTACATCCATCGACACACTTATATATATATACACAGACACACACACACATGTAGAACATGGCTCGCCCTTTCTATTTCGAAATAAACGCACCACCGGTTGCCGCATAGTCTTGGACACAGTCTGCCCATTGTATTCGAATAACGAAGTAAACCCATTTGCAATGCAAACATTACGATCTTCGAATAAAATTTGCGTACAGCAACCGGTCAACTTTTCCGTCGCGTTTACAGTCGTTTATCGAGATGTTCGTATTATCTTTTAAGTCTCGTTAACGCAATAACAATTTTACAATTCACTTCAATGGACATAATAAATGCCATTTTTCTCTTTCTTTTTCTTTGTTTTAATTCTTTTCGTTTCTTCCATTTCATTTTCAAGCTTGATATACCGTTCAATATTCGAATGAGAATAATTATAGGAAATCCATAAGTAAACAGTGGCTGATTAATAATTATCTTAAATAAAACAATAAACCTGTTGATTATATTGTTGTATCGAACATTTGCGTAGCTCTCCGATGATGATTCTGTTTCAGGGAAGAAGAAATCAATCGTGCAAATATTTCGACTAAATATCGAATATTCAATTCACGGTAATAAAATTCACGCTTGCACCGAAACATCCCTTTTGGAATTGATTGACAGTCAATTATATTATTATTCATCTGGTACGTTGTTTTTTCATTGGTTAAATGTCAACGTCTGCATTCTACGACAGGCGATCATTTTTATTTTATTTCTACCAAAATCTTGGTATCTTTATTTTTAGTTCCAAACGTTTCATTTTCTACGATCTATCGTAAATAAAATATATCTTAAATGAAATTCTATGAAATTCTTTTAAAGTTTATTAACTGTATTTAAAAAAAAAATATATATATATATATATATCTTTATTTCTTTTTTGGAAAGGAAAGAAGCATAATAAAATTGATTTGAAGATTTCGTTGACGTTTCGAATATCGTTTTCTTTGGAGAACGATAGAAAAAAAGGGAAAAAGAAAAAAAAGAAAAAATAGGAAACAAGAAAGAAATTTCATTCGAACGATACGTGACATAGGAGAAATGGAAACGAAAGGAAAGGAGGAGGTATGTACATAGTAAATAGCGAATGTAGACTGCAAACTACGAACTGTACGATGCAACGACAAAGTTCGTAAGACTTTGAAAGATTTCAGACAGGGTAACGATACTGCTTTTCGGCTTGAAACTACTACTACTACTACCAGTGAATAGTATTCGCTTTTTCCTTTCGAATTTCTAGATGGCATAGCGTCGATATTTATACTATAGCAAATCTCGTAAGTACGAACGCGGTGGAGAGTGAAACGTGATCAGACAACATTACGTGAGAGACGTCTTCAAATCAAAAATGCCATGAAGAAAAATAGAGCGAAATAAAATTAAATGAAATATTTTTTCAATTCTTAAAAACGAAAAGATCTTCTCATTCTATCACTTTTCATTCTTTCGCCTAACATATTTGTTTTATGAATAGATTCTATCAAATAATATAATAATAGGAGTCTCATTAATACCTGATGTATGAAACACCAAGTATAGCCGGCATTAAAATGCAAGATACAATGGAAGAACAATACGAGTGGGATTTAATTAGCAAGATGGTTATGCCAAAATACAATTTGGTACGAATTTTTCCTTTTTTTTTTTTGTTTATTTTTTCCTCCGTTTTTATTAGCAATGCGGAACACAAGCCTGCAGCATTTCCTAACCGCTAAAGTGAAATATTTTATTTATGTGTTTAAGGCAATTCCATTTCTCGCGATACTCTGACGTAGCACGTTCGTAACAGTATTGAATCGTGAACGAATTTCTTTAGTTTTCTATTACTATTTCTTTTTATTCTATTTTCTTCGAGAATAATGAAAAAGTAGTATTTGGTATTCAGACGAAATAATCGAAAACGTATGTGTGTCGAACGATACCTAGAGAGTATGTTTTTAATATCATTTTTCAATAAATATCTCTTTCTCTCTTTCTCTTTCTCTCTCTCTCTCTCTCTCTCTCTCTCTCTCTCTCTCTCTCTCTCTCTCACTCGATTCAGACGTTGAAATAGTTGCTTATTTCGTAAAATCATGTTAACAGCACGGAAATCTTTAAACACATGGCGTATTTGAAAAAATTTTCAAATTTTCTTTTAAATGCATAGAGTGAAGATAGGATATACTCATCTTTTGTTATCTCCAACGCTATTTTTAGCGTACCTTTGAGAAGTAAAACACGCGACGCACATACACAGAGAATAGCGATATCTCTTGGCCGGTACCACATTGCGGTATCTCTCTTCCTTTATGGTGACGCTCATATTGAATATCAAGCGAGGGTGTCCCTCGCAAAAAGAGCGTAAGTCTCTTCCAATGCTCGCTTTGAGATCCGAAAAAGTTTACCATCTTCATTAGCATTCATGACGAGCTCAGGTATATATGTAGCACCGTATACATATACTTATAAATGTCTCTGTATATGTAGGTTTCATGTTTATTCACGACATCTTTAATAATAACCTGAATTAATTAATATGTGTATTGGACGTTCAGTAAACATAGCTTTAATTAGAAACGAAACTAGGCCTTTGTTGAACACGTCGATTAGTAAATACGAATTGTAATACATTATTGTCGCAAATAAAAAAAAAACAAAAAAACAAAAGAAAAGAAAAATAAGGAAAAGATATAGATTTTAATGGAAATAATGAATTTTCTACTAATTACATTACTCATTGAACGAGAAAGAACAGATGAGACGTCTGACAAACATTAACGAGATGAAGAGTGCAGATGCTTTAACCGGTGACCTTGAAACGATGATAACGAAGCAGTTCGTTCGTAGACGTTAGTATGCTCATTAAAGTACTCGCTAAGGAGACGTTTTAAAGAGACATTTACACAAGTAGGACGACGCTTCTATGACGCACAAGTACCGTGTGACTTAATTACCGATAAAGAGTAGTCGAGAGTGAGATGGGCCAGAGGAATGTGAGGAAGTATATGGGAGTGAGTTATAAAAAAGTCGAGTGGCAGAGAATCGAAAAGAGAGAAGGTCAGTTAGATTCTTTCTTTCGTCTCAAGGAAAATCTTGATGAGTGTCCTTTGTCGAAGAGAAGGATAGAGAAGACCAAGCGACGTCATTTGGGGATTCGACTCGAGGGAATCCTTCTGATCGATTCTCTCCTGCTACTGTGTTCTCCAGTACTCTTCTTTCCTCCTCCTCCTCCTCCATCTCCATCTCTTCTTCTTCTTCTTCTTTTTCTTCTTCTTCTTCTTCTTCTTCTTCTTCTTCTTCTCCAACTTCTATTACTTCTTTTTCTTCTTTAGGTGGCCAAACTAAGCGGCTACACGTTGTCACTTTTCGCGATAACGTTGGCAAGGTCTACGTTCTACCAAAAAGCTTTCTTTCACAGAGGATTGCAGTACCTGAAGAATAAATCCCAGCTTGCGATAATGCTCGAGTCGTAATCGACATATCGTTTCCAACAAAGTTGCTGTGGTTTTTCATTGGAAACGTTAGATTCAGGTTATCGGTTCCTCGATCGATCTCTCTCTCTCTCTCTCTCTCTTTCTCTCTCTCTCTTCTCTGTCTCTGATGCCAATATCGAAATTCACGTATAGGATTCCCTGAAAAGAATGTCGATCTTTTTCTTCTTTATTTAAACTAACATTACAAGAATGCTTAGAAATCTGAGGATTCGTTAAATTCTTCGATTAAACCTCAAAAAAGGAATTCAATGATTGAGTGATTCGAAAACACTTAGAATTTTCGATACTCAATGATCAAGTAGATACTGACTTATTTTATCGGGGATCATTGGAATTTCTGAAATCGATTTAGTATTCGGGACCTTGCTGAAAGCATCGACCATCGTTCGATATTCAGAATATCAAACTCACTTAAAGGGATTTCGAAGCGACCATCGAAAAGTTTCGACGACGGACTCGACGTCGGACATTGGATTTCATGGAATGGAAAATATAGAAGTTAATAAGAGAAGAGAGGACTTTGGTCATCGTCAAGAAGAATGGAATTAGGGTTATTAGATTGTGGGTTATTTTAAGCTTGAGATTGACAAGTTATTACTATCTATCACTAACTATTAGATTACAATGAATGAAAGGAACATCGAGTTCGACGTTTCGCGTGTTCACTCAGAAAATGTATTCTGCGTGCGAGCATCAAATGAAGGAATCGTTAGTCAAACGTGTCCATTCGTATAATGGAGGTCTATAGTAAAATTTACGCGAACTAAATCGATGGAAGAATCAAGACACACGCTATTATTACACTTTGTTACCGGAACTAGGTAATTCGAGCATGGAAGAGTTACGGTAGAACGTTTAACGAATATAAATGAGAAAGGAAATATAGATTTAAGATTTATCAGAATTTTATTACAGTTATCACTATGTCCAATTTCTAAAGAGATCTTCGAAGTGTTCTATGAAAGAAAAAAAAAACAAAAAGAAAACTGAAATATTAGTATCGTGATTGTTTGTTTATTTATTTACTACGTTTTACTTCGACATACTTTGATTATTTGTAAATAAAATGAGCACTCGTTGGATAATTACGTTATATGCGATACAATCTTCGGTAGGATCAAGATTTGTAAACATGAAAAATTATTTATGAGTCAGTTTTGTTCGAAACGTTGAGAGTGTCCTATCTCGAAGGCTTCCATCATATCCACTTTAAAAATATACTCAGTCTTTTTAAAACATTTAAAAATTTTTCAAACATTTAAATGTTTTCTTTTTTGTCCAAATGTATATTTTTTTATTATCACCATGCATGATAGAAATAATACGGATAATAGCATCTGTGAAAATTTCATGTAACGTAAAATTATATTTATATTTTTATAATATTTATTTATATTATGTATATTGTATATTATAGATAGCATTAGTATATTGTAATTGCGACAAACATCGCTTCGATTGATATCAATATGTACAAATAGCACTTAACGCATAAATTCGTATTAATCAAACATCGTACTCATGAAAATTCAAACTTGTAAATACATGCTTGCTCCTCTACAGAATAATACGTAGGCAGCATTGATTGGCATACGTTTCCTCTCTCGTCGTAGTATCATACGTTTTATTTCGACGTTTGCCGCTATCTTTGTGCTACGAACGAAACATTTTTATTTGACGTTCGCGAATGGAAACGTAAAATATCCGATATATCCGCTCGACTTGCTACAGACACGCGTGCTTACGTGCTCGGTCGACTACGAACACAGAGAGGAGGACACAGAGAAAAAGACAGAAATATGGAGATTCATCGATGTGGAAGATTGACGTTTTGCGGATTCCGGTTTTATGATAATTCTACATCAATGCCAAACAGAAAAAAGAAGTCATTTTCCGTTTCTCAACGAGTGGACACGAATTTGTATACGCGAACTCTATAAAAATTTCTCCTTTTTTCGAGAGAGACAGAGAGAGAGAGAGAGAGAGAGAGAGAGAGAGAGAGAGGAAAGGAGAGAGGAAACGAACGTAATTTTTTTTCTCTTCCTTTTTTGTTTGTTATATAACTATGAAGCAGTAACGGTCAGGAAGATAAAGTACTTCATGGAGACTTTCAAGTACCCTGAAAGATTCAAGTGGATGTTTTAGTACGAAAAAATAAAAAAAAAAGAAAGAAAATATATGGAAAAATAGTTTCGTTTGCATCTCCTTAAAGCTTGTCGTCAACGAAGAGTAAAAATTTTTATAATTTCATATCGAAACTCAACAAATTTGACAGAGTTATAACTACTTGAAGCAGTAAAAATGTTCTTTAAAAAATTAAGTTACAGCTAGTTTCTAAGTAAAGATCGATAAAAAAGACTTGTGTCGTTATTAAAAATAATTGGCCAATAATCAAATAACTATTTTATAAGAAATAATAAAATTATTACATTTTATCGATTTTCTAAGTCAAAATATCAAATAGAATATATTTAATTAACTTAATACTTGTCTTTTATTTTCGAGCATGAGGATTAAATTGCAACTTTTTCTCCTTTTTTTCTCTTCCTTTTCTTTTTCTTTTTTTTTTTTTTTTTTTTGAAGAGAAGGAAACCTATAAATTTACAAATAGAATGATCAGTTACGAAAAGGTTTAGATTTATCAAAAACTCCAATAAAGAGACAGAGAGGAAAAAGGAGGAAATAGGTGAACAGGTTCAATGATCGTAACGTGCATTTTGTTGAACGTGCCTGGAGCACTGATTCTTTTAGGAAGGTAGTCGGAGAGCAATTTTGAGGAGGGAAGGGAGAGGCGACAAACGAAACGTCTCCTCTCACGATCCTAGTTCGATCTTATGGAGGCATGTAATATTAATGGTCTATTTGTAAATCGATTCCGACAGAAAATAATATCTTCTTGCTTATTTATGACAATCACTTTTATTGGTACTCAGTCAAATGTACGTAAGTATATATATACACGAGCATATATTTTCTTTTTCATTTTTTCTCGTATTCACGTATAATAAATAGACATTTATTTTTTATTTTCAAAATATTGTTCGATATAATATTTCTAAGGTGAAACACTAATCTTTTCGTGTTCAATCTTAAACGTGTCTCTTTTATTATATGATATCTTTGAAATTAAGTATCGAAAAAATGTCAAATATTGATGATCATTATTTTTGAGCTTATCGACAAGGAGAAAAAAAAGAAAGAAAAAAAAACAGTCATTAAGTCGCCGTTCTATATTCAAAAGATTGTGCAGAAGAGTACTCGGCCATGAAAGGTACCTTGTTAAAAGTAACCACCTTATTAGAGGCTCTTCGAAGTCACCTTTGGGAGGCTTTAAAAATTTTTAATCATTACTACCACCACATCGTTTTATAAGTATATCAAAACTAACGTGGATGAAGGTACGATCGTGACTACACCCACGACCTCGGTATATCCTGGTCGAATGAAAAAGTACGGATCACTGCTGATAAAGTTGGATTAATCGTCGTAATGGTTAAGCTCGCCGTTACTATCCATAGCTACTCGTTTCTGAGAGATTGGAATAATTAAAACTGCATCTTAAGAGTAGAAGTTCGTCGAAGATCGAGGCGATCGCGTTGCGAAGGGTTGCCATGAATTTCAAAGGATTGAAATCTTTGAAATTAAAAAGAAAAAGAAAGATAGAACATCTATCGTCTGCTTTATTATAGAGCTAAAAAAAAAAAGAAAAAAGAAGAAAGAAAAGGAAAAATCATAAAGAACGTCGCTCTTATCTTAGCGACTCAGATATCGTAAATAAAAGTTCGAATTAATATTCTATTAGAATCTTCTCGAGCATATCGCGAAATTTGAAATATTACAAAGGAGAGATAGAAAACTTATCTACGCCTGAGAAGTTGATAAATTAACGTCGGATGTAACATGGCATCGTAGAAGGTATTTCAATCGAAAACGAAATGAAATATTCACCGTTGCCTCCGTGCTTGGTGAAACGAAGAAGAATCCGATCTGTTGGCACCATCTGCTGTTATTTTCTTTGATTCTGTCTTTACTTTAATGATGGTGCAAACATCGATATCGAACGAGTTTTACTAACTACTATTACAATTATTATTATGAATGTTATTAGAGACTTCGATATCAGAAATAGTTAGTATTTCTGATAGATTGGCTCATCGAATATCGAAATAAAAAGAAAGAAAAATCATGAATATTCTGATTGCTCGAAGATTGATACGATTTTTCGAACAAATTGATAATCTTTCAAATTCTCCTTAGGGACGTCTGATCAATCGTTAGAGCACTCTTGTCAATGACGAAAGACATTTAAAAAAAAAAACAAATCTTATTCGATTGGATGGCAATTAAACTTCGTTACTTTATTTTTATTCTTTTTTTTTTTTGTTATTTTTAATTTATTACTTTTATTTTATTTCATTATTATTGACAAGTATTATATTAATCAACGATAAAAGTTTTTAATTTTCGCATTCGCGTTTCTCTTTCCTAGATAAACTAAGAGCACGTTTTCCAATTAAATTAAACATCATTTAAAAAACATTAGAATTCGTATTTCACCGATGAATCAGGAAAAGAGAAGAAAGTAATGTGGAATACGTGAGATTCTTTAAGCTAGAGAGTTAAAAGAAGGAAAGGAAAAGTGAGATTAGAAGTGAAATCGTAGAGGAAATTCGAGAATTTCCTTGGACCCTTCCGATCAAATCTTTCTGCTTTCGTACCTGTTGGAAAAAGAGTCTTTTGTTCCCTTTTAGTTTATACAGCTGAAAGTGGTTTTAATTTATACTGGTGTGGTCAGTTCGAGAAAGAGAAAGAGAGAAAAAGAGAAGAAAAAAAGATAAGAGAAAATGAGAATGAAAAAAGAAAAAGAAAAAGAAAAAGAAAAAAAAACAAGAAAAAGAAAGAGTTGAAAAGAGAGGAAAAAAAACAGAGAGATGTTGTACGTGGGTCCTGGGATATTAAAAAGAATCAGCCTGAGGTTAGCTAGAAACGTAGCAGCATTCACTAAAGGCGAGTGAGGCTTGTAAGAGGAAGGGATAGTTCGAGTTGGTACCACTTCGTAACCCACCGAATTTATCGTCGAGATCAACGGGTACACATCGACCGCAACGTGTGAGCCATTTTTACTCGACGTTCTTCTTCGAACGAACTCTCGAGGCACTGGAAAAGAATGTCGGTATTAGCGAACGAACTGGAACTATACTTTGAGACTCGATCTTATGTCATTTTTCTTTGTACTATAACCAATGGCGTTGGTTCGAAACGTTCGATTGATCTATTTATACGGCATACGTATATTTTTCATTTAATATTTTTTTTTTCTCATTTTTTTTTTCTTTTTTTTTTATAGAAACACATAAATATATAATTCAAAAATATGTTTCTTCAAACATATGTGTTGGTGTTTTTATTGAAATATTTTATACTTTAAAAGAATGTATGTGCTTTAACTTTATTCAATTTCTGCATCCCATGTAAGGCAACTTCTCGATTATCTTTCTTTCCCTCTTTCATCGCTTAGTCTCTCATTATTCGAGATCGAAATCCTTTCAAAAGTATCCTCTTAAATTTATCGTTCGGAAATGCAACGCGAAATAACATGATGGGGTGATAAAAGCGGTCTCCTCGATAGAATTTCTTCGCCTTATTCTTTTTTTACTTCACCGTTATCTTTTCTCTCTATCTCTCTCCCTCTCTCTCTCTTTCTTCCTCTCCCTCTTTGTCTCTGTTCTTACTTTGGTGTTCTCACGGTTTTTACCTCCAGAAAAGGTCATTTTGTTATCCGAAAAATAGATTACTATTTTTATCGTGAAATGTAATAGATTTTTAATATGTGCGTTCTATGCAATATGAATGATAAATGATTGATAAATATTGATTTTTAAATAATACAAAAGTTCAATCAGTTTCTCTCTCTAGAAACATTTCGTTCCAGATTTGTAGTAGAAATCGATTACATATTTATGGTGATTTGTAAATTCTTTAGTCTCATGGGATAGAACGAGAGACTTGGGAATTCAGCTGAAAGGAATAAGAAAGATATCGTATTGCTTAGAATACAATGTATACATATGTATATGTAAGATAATATTTTTAAATTTTTACATTGTTGAAGGGAAAGGAAAGAGAAAAAGTTAGAACGAAAAAAGTACACTGGCAATGCATTTCACGCTGGAGGACAGTAGCGATTAAGAGATAGCGAGATTTCTCGATATATCTGCATAATCCAGGAGGCAAGTTAGCCACCGATATTTTTGCGTAGGACATTTTGTTCAACGACGGAATATTTTTACGTGACAGTAGCGACTACGTGCTCGTGCATAGCTTCGTTATTCAGGAA